GAGGAGATTTGGGAGGTCGACTATACTAAATTCAAAGTGCCTTTATTTAAATGTAAATGGGTTGATAGCAATACTGGTGTCCAAAGAGACCAAATGGGATTTACTTTGATTGATATAAACAAGATTGGTCATAAGGAAGAACCCTTCATAATGGCATACCAGGCAAAACAAGTGTTTTATGTCACTGATCCATCAAATGATAGGTGGTCAGTTGTCCTCAAAGGAAAAATGATTGATGTCACAAATGAGAATGGAGAAGAATTAGATGATTTTATTAACATTCAAAATTCACCACGGTTGCCTATTGCTATATCCCAATTGGAAGAGGACTTTGTTCATGCTACTCGCAATGACCATGATGAAGGCATATGGGAAAATATTAATACAATCTAAGTTATGTTTCTATTTGTTTATTTTTTTAACATGTAATTGAGGAGACTTTGCATGTGTATTGATATAATTCTATGTTTTTTTCATTACAGGTAAATGGCATGTCCTTCACCATCTCCTCCACCATCTCCTCGGGCATCCGGAAAGATATTTTCCGAGTAAGAGGAGTCGACAATCTACACGGTTGAAAGGCTTGACCGTTAGACACATATCTGGCCAGAAGTTATCGTGATTCGTTGATCCTAGGACTGGCAAGGTGTCGGGTCCCTTTAGTACCCAATTTAGTAGCTACTTGGGTACACTAGCTAGAGAGAAGGTATTTATTCTATTTCAAAGTTAATTTCATTTCAAATATATTGTTGATACTTATGTTGTTTATGTTGTGTAGATATCTATTCTCCATCCTACTTGGGATCATGTGGAGGAAACCGTGAAGAACTTGTTATGGCAAGATCTTCTTGTAAGTATGTGTATTTAGTTGTTTATACATTATTATCAATTGGTTAACTAAAACTTGTTTGCTATCTGTAGGAACACTTTGATATAGTCAATTCGAGGATGTGAGGAGGAAGATAATGACGGCCATAGCAAAAATGTGGAGACAGTTCAAGTCCACATTGACCACTAAATGGGTGTATGCTTGAGGACAAAGTTAGGAAGGGATTAACCCCTTGCCAAAGATATGGCATAGATGAGGACACTTGGAAGAAGTTTGTACATAGTAGGACTGGTTCGAGTGGGAGGTAATGTTAATTGCTTAATTGACTTGAACATTTTATAATGAGTTGTGTATCTAATATTGTGTTCAATTATGTTGCAGGAAAGAAGACAAAAAGCAAAAGACATTCGGAGCAAGAATGTCGCCCCCACCTTCCGTCTCGTGGTGGGTACGACCTATTGACAAAGAAGATGATGGAGGAGAAGATGAGACTTCGACAGTCGGAGTTAGCCTCTTCCGGTTTAAGCGAAGAGCGAGATTCCTCCACCATCTCCTCCAAAACGTCACCAGAAGTGGAAGAGGGCTCGTACAAAGCCTTCTAGTGACATGACATCGCAGGAAGCTCCGAGAAATTGCTGCTCGGATTGTAAGTAAAAGAAGTTAATTTACTTTGAATTAGTTATATGTAACTTGTTCATTAATAAAATTAACTTTTATAATGTAGGATGCCTTGGAGGAGCAAGTGTACACAGGGAACTTTCATCCCTTCGGTCGTCAGGATATCTTGACCACTGCTATTGGACGACCAGAACATCCAGGTCGTGTTCGAGCTGTTGGCCAAGGTGTGGGTGTCCGACGGTATTTTGGACCACCATCACAGGATATCCGCACCTCCACATCCCCGAGCCAAGAAGATATTGCTGCCTTGGAGATGGCTCTCACGGAGAAATTGACACCGACCATCGGGGCAAAATTGGAGGAAGAGTTGACTCCCGCCATCGGCGCACGACTTGAGGAGACCATCATCTGCACGTGTGTAGGAGCAGTTCTCGCGTATGACCTCCATGGGTACTTCATTTGCTTGATGCTCATCCTCCATCAGTGCATTTTCAACAACAAATTGGTACTTGACTTATGTTTCTAAAATCTTAGTCCTTATTGGAATTTACTGTATTTGTAGGTCCAAGAGTTAGCACAAAGGGCAATTGTGCTGAAGCCACTATCGAGGTCACACCTGAGGTGACATCTATTAATCCTGAATCCACAAAGGATGATCAATATGGCTTGTGGGTTGAGGTAGATGAAGGTCTAAGGCTAGTGGCCCATGGATCAGTTCATGAAGGGGCTTCAACCATCCACAATGTGCCTTTGGATCCTAACTTGGTCAAAGTAGTGGTTGAAAAGGTGGTTGACGCTGCAGCTAGTGTCCCTATCCCCACTGAAGAGGTGCAGACAGTGGGCCAAGCCCTTCAGACCTTCATTACTTGGCCCCGACATTTAGTTAGGTCAATAATGGCAAAGGTATGTATATGTATGGTTATAATACATCTAACACATAAATAAATTGATTTATTGTTTATGATTATATTTTATAAAATATGTAGGATGTTCGGCAGCCAAAAGACTTGGGTAAAGCTATTGCCACTCCTTCGCATCTAAGGAGAAGACACCAGTTGTGGAGACTTCTCCAAATCCAATTTTTGATCTCTTGTCTCTTTCCCCACAATTGTATCTGCAGTCATTCCAAGTTCCATGGGATTGTACATTATTTGGGATGACTTCTAGCAATATCCCCCTATACATTTCCCACATCGATGCCCTAGAGATTGGGATGGGCAATCAATGTCTAAATATAGCTTGTTTTACAATTTTGGACATTGTAAGTTCATATATTTCATGACTCTTTTCATTTTAGTAAATATATAAGCTATAAGTTCACTTAAATTGGCATATTTTAGGATGATGCACGAAATGATAGTGGAGCAGGGCATTGGTCATGTGTATGGATTCTTCGAGCCTCAATCCATACAAAAGTCTCGGGAATAAGCGTGATCAAATTCTCGGTTACATGCAGAATTGGATCACCGATTCTAAAAGAGATATTTACCTTGGAGCATACCATCATTCGTAAGTTATCCCAGCCTCTTCCGGTTTTGCACAAGTTTTTTTAATAGATTCTAATCATGTGTATATACGAAACCACTGGCAGACTATTAGTTATTTGTCCAAAGCGGAATCTTGTGTGTTGGTTCTGCTCATTGGGAAGGAAACCCGACATGGAGCTAAAAAATATTGTAAACGAGTAAGTATTTCTTATATTATGTCTAAACATCTTGATTATTCTATTTCTAACCCCCTTCTTTTCAATATATAGTGCTCTAAAGGTTTGTAGTACATTAGGTAGAAAACACACAAGTAAAAGCACAGCTCCAAATTGGAATTTTATCAAAGTAAGTAGCCTTTATATATATTATACTATCTATTAATTTATGTTCAAATTTAATAGTTATTTTTAACATATTTAGTCATTTTTAGTGTAACAAACAAAATGGAAGATACGAGTGCGGCTACTATGTAATGTATTGGATGTGACTCATCATTTTTGGTAGCATTCAGGATAGTTGGAATGAGGTAAGTTGACATTTGCTATTATATTCAATTCCTTTATTTTTATTGCTTAGGGTTTACCATTCTATTATTGTGAACTTCTTACAGACATTTAAAGATATAGAACCTTTGCCTATGGATACTATAGACATGGTTAGAAACAAATGGACAGAAAAGTTTGTACAAGTAGTTAGGAATAGGATTGATTGATAATTTTTTGTGTATTTTGTACATAATTTGGCTGATTTTGACATATATATCTATCATTTTATATATTAGTGATTAGCTGAAATAAATATACTGTCTGGACTGAGATTATAGCAGGTCATGTGTTGGTGGCACTAAAACAGACCAACATTTAAAAAAAAAAAAGGATATTCTACGTCGGTTATTGCATTAACCGACGTTATAACGTCAGTCGCTTGAGCAATACAGAGGTCGCTTGAGCGATACAGAACCCGAGAGTCCCCTGTGTTTGAAGGCTTCGTCGCTCAAACGAGTACACCGGTCGCTTGAGCGAGAAAGGACTTTCAACGTCGGTTAGTTCAATAACCGACGTAGAATTTACTAATTTCTACGGCGGACATTTGGTTACCCGACGTAGATATATATCACTTTCAACGTCGGGTATTCTGAACCGACGTAGAATCCTTTGACATTCAACGACGCCTGAATCAACGACGTCATTGGAACCGACGTTGAATGCCTTGTATAACCGACGTTGAATGATCATTTTGTAGTAGTGATCGTTGCTTGAAATTTAGACAAAAGAAGAAGAAGGATGAGAGGAAAATTTTGATTCTCTTCCTCCCCCGCTTCAGTATGCATATATAAGAAAAAAATTTACTGTGCATGAGGAAAACTTCGTTACGAAGTTTTCTTGCACAGTAATATTAATATAATATTAAAATAAGGCATACGTCACACGTATGGTGATTTTTTTTTTAAATATTTTATATTTCACAACTTCATCATGTATTTTTTGTAAGAAAAAATAAATAAATATATATATATATATATATATATATATATATATATAATTCTTTTGTACAAAAAATGACATGCTTCCAATTGATTTAACACCTTCCATTTCTAAACCATAAATCTAAAACTGTTTTCCTTATCAAGCAAATTTAATTTTCTTTTATTTAATTTTTTTTCATTTTATTCAACTATTTTTTATCAAAAATCTTTAATGTATTTTAAGTTTTGATCTCAACACATTTAACATTATAATATATGTAAAAAAAAATATGATTGTTGATTCCATTTTAATTTTATATTATTTCATTCATGATATAATTAATGTATCTTAATAATTTTATGTAACTGAAATTTTTTCTAGGACTAATATATCAATTACGTTGAATGAATATTATTTTTTTTATCCTCAATTGACTCTTTAACTTATTTTTTGTTGAGGATTTTTAACTTTTTATTTTTTTAATAAAAGATCCATATACCAACAAACTAAGCAATAAAAGCTTTTAAGAGTTTATTAATTTCTTTTGCCTGTTCCTCGTTGATATTTGGAAAAGATGCGAGAATTCCGCGAGACTTTTCGATGGTCTCCATAAGTTTCAATTGCAAGAGTAGAATTGCGTTATTGAAACAGATTATGCGAATGGTTACTCATCATAATCATCTGAGAAGCATGAAGGCATTAGTGACAGTTATGGCTGTGTTGTTGATGATGGTAAACATGGTGCATAGTGAAGAAGAAGGTGATGGGTGGTTTTTAGGCAATAAGAGACGTGTGCGCATTACAAATAATATAAAGAATGTTCTTGTTTTCATCCATTGTCGATCCAAGGATACTGATCTTGGAAAAAATGTTCTTGACTTTAGACAGTACGAAGAATGGAGCTTCAGAGACAACTTTGGTGGCACCACTCTTTTCTGGTGTGCCATGTCTGCAAACGATGTCCACACAAGTTTTGAGGTTTATAGTGCCAAAACTTCTCATATTGAATGTGGTGATGATTGTTATCGAAGTCTAAGGTCAGATGGATTATATTTCTATAATTATGGAACATGGGAGAAGAAATTGTCATGGCAAGTTCATGCACCATAGCTTTCTGAAAGGTTTTATGTTTGCTAATAAACAATTGAATCATAAACCATTGTTACTTCTCTTTTATCTCATCATCAAAATTTATTATCTTAAAAAGTTAGCTTGTTAGGTCATTTTATCTCACTAATTATATTTCTGTCATAGTTCAAATTCATCCTTCAAATTATTATCTTAATTCATTCTTTAAAATTATCTTCTTGTAAATAGTATTTTATATTAAGATATGCACGAAGTTATTATATAATAAGCAATAAAATATCTATTTATCTATATATTAATGTATATAATAATTTTTTATAAAAATTAAATAAAAAATATTTATAAATATAATTAAAATTATATTTATATTTAAAAAATATCATTTATATATTTTTTTCTTCTATCTTTGTATTTTTATCTTTACTTCTCTCACCTATTCACTTGCTCATTCCAACTTTTTCTATTGTAAACTCATTTTTTTTGTCTTTTCAAATTTTTATTCTTTTGTTTTTTCCTTTTTCAAAATTGTATTCTTTTGTTTAACTTTCCTATTTATCTCTTGTATGATTTCACCCTATAACATAAAATTTGTAAGTTTTTTTTTAAGTTTAAAAAAAATTGTTTTATAGTTTCATCTTTATAACATAAAAATTATAATATTTTTTATTTAATTTTTTATTTTTTTATATTAAAGACATAAAATAAGAAGTTAAAAAAAATAAAGGAAATACCCCATAAAAAGTTCTTTATTATTTTTGTTTATTATTATAATAACTTAATATGTGTATAGTTTAGAATAAAAATATAAAATATTGATGTAATTGTTTTATTTATTATTCATTAATTATTTTAATGTTTTATAATATTCTATTTCGTTATTAAAATGTAAAAAAAAAATCAAAGTTAAGTTTTAAAAATGTCTAAAAGTCAAATTATAATTCCATTCTTTAAGAATAAATAGAGGATAAATGAACAAATAAATTATAATTTTTAAAATTTAAATTTAATTAGTAATGTTGTGTATGTTTAAGTATTTTATATAATATATTTATTTTTATACAATAATTATTTTTTTATATATTTATCACTTATCTAAAAAATTTTGTTTTGCCACTATAATTTTAAAACAAATGAATAAGACAAGTTCATCGGATAATAAAATATATGTTTTATTAATCTAATATCTTTTTATAAATGAAGAACTATATATATTACTAATAATTTACAATAAATATTATATCAATTTAAGTATAGTTGACAAAATACATTAATATTTTTATAGCACTAAAACCTGGTATTTCGAGACTAAGAAGTTCTTTATGTTTCTCTATAAATCTAAAAGATCTTTATTTACATCTTAAGTTCTTGAAATCATTAGTGTATAATGGATATGATTTATATAGAATTAAAGTACTTTTTGTTATGTAAATATTTATCATTAACTTAATCACTTAGGTTCAAATATATGAGAAAAATTTAATATGAAAATAAGGGGTGTTATAAAAATATTTTTATTTAAATATTAATTTTATAATACAAACAAAATTTTGTATTTAAAACATCCTTTAGGAGTTTCAAAATAAATAACAATTATGATAAATTATGTTTTAGATAAAGGATAAAATGTGATCATTGTTATTTTTCTTAAACAAAACACTCAAAAAACAATAATACATATTTTAATTCATAAATGGACTTATTCAACTTAAATGAATAATCCTCTTTAAAATATAATTATTGAACAAATTAAATCCTTTAAAAAATTTCATATAAATATATTTTAAGGATAACTATCATTAGATATAATTTAAATCATTCTTATGCAACTAGATCAATTAAATAGATAAAAACATTTGTATTAGTTACAAGAAATTCACAAAATCAAGGGTGGGTGAATTTAAAAAAAAAATAACCAGTTATATTTTATATCTCACCGTTCCACCATTTTCGTTTTCTACAAAAAGTTAAATAGGTTTAATACCTTTGGTGCATATTATAAGTCTTAAACTCTTTCACTTATAAATTATTTTTTATTCTCTTTTTCATCTTTTCATTTTGTCACAATTTCTTTATCAAGACAAAATATAGATTTTAAGTTTTGATTTCATATTATTTTATTCACAATATAATTTATTGAAATCTCTTAATTTTATAGTAATTTCAAATAATTTCTTCTAAAACTAATATTATATTAATTATATTAAGTTTTTCATTTCCATAGACTCATATTACTTTTTAATTCCTTTTCTTATTTGAGGAAAAAATAAACTAATAATTGATTATACTTATCTCATATTTAAAACTTGTTTTTGTACTGTTAGAATATCCAATGGAAACTTCATTTATAATTTAACAATGGGTAAATATTACTTAAAAATATATTTCAAACTTTTATGTGTTGCATTTTACTACGGGGTAACATAAATTAAAAATCAAAATATTTTAATGATGAGTGAGATTTTATTTTTTATTTTTTATTTGTAGAAACAGGCATGATAAAACTTTTTATTGAATGAAAACTTAAAATATAGATATACAAACAAACGTAGAAATAAAAGCTTTGAAGAGTTTATTAATTTTCTTTGGCTGTTCCTCATGGACATTTAAAATTTGCAGAAAATGATGCGACAATTCCGTAATACTTTTTGGCTGTCTTCATAAGTTGTAAGAGTAGAAGTGCAAGTTTCTGAACAGATTCTGACATCGGTTTATCATTGTTACTCTCTCAGAAGCATGTTGAAGCTATTAGTAACAGTTATTGTGTTGGCGATGATGGTAAACATGGTGCCAAGCGAAGAAGAAGGTGATGGGTTTTTAGACGGGAAGAAACACGTGCGTGTTCAAAACGATATGACGAATGGCATTGTCGTTCATCTCCATTGTCGATCCAGGAATGATGATCTTGGAGAACATGTTCTTGCCTTTGGACAGTACCAAGAATGGAGCTTCAGAGACAACGTTGGTGACACCACTCTTTTTTGGTGTTCCATGTCCGCAAACAATGTCCAAACGAGATTTGAAGTGTACAGTGCCCCTTCTGATCACACCAAATGTGATAAACAATGTTATCGAAGTCTGAGAACAGATGGAGCATATTTCTATGATCAATTTGAAGACACGTGGCAGAAGAGACATTCATGGGATGTTCATGCACACTAAGCTCTGTAAAAGGTTTGTGTATGCGAAACTATCAAAACAAATAAATTATTGCTATTTCTCTTTATTTTATTATCACTGTTTCAACTTTTTTTTATTTAAGTTAGCTTTTTATCTCACTAATTATTATTTTTGTTACTTCCTTCAACTTCATTGGTTTACAAAGAAAATGAATAATAGAAAATGATTTATTCAAGAACATAAAGAAAATAATTTTCAAAAAAAAAAATCCACTAAAATTAATATATAGATATAATGTAAAATAGAAAAAAAATTATTTCATAAAACTATTCTCTCTCCCATTTATGATTATTAATTTTCATATTTACAATTTAAATTAATGCGGACAAACTTTTTTAATATTTTTTATTAAGTATTAATATTTAAAGATGAGTATGTACAAGCCAGTATATGTATAATAACTGTTAATTATATTATTTTGTTAGAGTATAATAAATATAAGAATAATCATTTAAATAAAATAAAATGAAATATATTTTATATTTTTAATATAATATTATTCTATTAATTAAAACATAATTATTTTTAGAAATAAATATAAATTTATAATAAAAAGTACTCTATAATATATATATATATATATATATATATATATATATATATATCAAGTGAGATCCTTTTATCTTAATATTTTTTAAAATAAATAATAAATTATAAAAAATAAAATAATTCACATATTTAAATAAACTCTTAAAAATAAAATTAAAAATCAAACTAAAATATTCTTAGTTATTATAATAATCTTTAATGATAAAATTTATCCCCGCAACAAAATTAGAATACATGTATCATCTTTCTTCTTTTATGTCACTCCTGATCATAACATGTCATGAAATAAAGATAAAAAAGTTTTAAGTTTTGTTACTCTTCATTAACATTAATTGAAAATAGGTTTACTTGTAAAAATGTTTAACTCAAACAAACATACAAACAACAAAACTATATATATAAAGAAAAAATATATCTTATGTTATGAACACACTTATAAAAACACACAAATATCAATTACCTCAATCATAAATTCATTGCTTTTATTTCTATGACCTGTCATTTATAAAATTAAATATTGTATAAATTATTTTTTATCAATTTATGAGTTTTCTAATTTATAATTATTTTATACATAAAAAATGAGTAAAATAGAGAATTCAATAACTATTTTATTATATTTAAAAATTTATAATACTTAATATTCATTGAATAGAGAAAAAAAAACTACAATATGATTTTCTTTAATAGAAAGAAAAAAAATTGAAATTTTATTGCATAAAAAATTGAAATTTTATTGCATAAAAAATTGAAATTTTATTAAAGAGAAACATAAATGACACTTTATTATGAAAAGAAAAAAATATTATGAAAACAAAAAAATATTATAAATAATATTTGTTGGAGGATGAATGCAAAATAATAAGTTATTATAAATCATAAAATTTTATTATATTTATCGATTCCTACAAAACAACCTAACCGCATAGATAATATATATATATATATATATATATATATATATATATATATATATATATATATATATATATATATATATATATATATATATAATTTATGTCTTTGACAAGAAGCTTAATTAGAAAAAAAATGCTTCAATACTTCACATGCTTATCTTCAATGAAAAAATTAAATAAATTTGATACTTTATCATAAAAAATGTAACAAAGTATTATTAAAAAATAACAAATTCATTATAAGTTAGAAAATTTAATATTTTTCTTGATCACATATTAAGAAATAATGTAATATAAATAAAATCATTAATGCCTTTTTAAAAAATGTAATACAAATAAAATCATTAATGCCCTTTTTACCATATATAGTGGTTCACGTTTTTATTTAGTTTTTTACATTGAAGTTTTTTGAGTTTCTGAAATAAATGAATTGATGAAAGGTTTGTGAACAACTAATATCATTAATTTTTGGAATAAATATACCTTTCTTCTACAATTTCATGTTTCAATTTTGTTCCACATTGCATTTTTTTTTTTTAAATACCTCCTTAAAAAAATTACTCATGCATAGCTTTCTAAATTTAATGAATATCTCCCTAGAGTAATTTAGTAATATGAAAAAGTGGTGATTTCAGTATGGACACTTTTCCCTATTTAATAAAGACCTTTTTCTACTAAGTTTAGATTATGGTGAATCTAATTGAATATTAAAAAGGAGTTAAAAAAGGTTAATTTACAGTTGAAAGTTGATAACTTATAGTTTAAAATTATTAATTAAGTTATAATATTTAGTAAAATTACATGTTCAAATAGTTCATAAATACAAAATAAGAAAGAATGTTTTGATTTTGAGGATGTTGAAGAATTAGAAGTTGTTGTACTCATAATGTTTTTAAGTTTGATTTGATTGTTTGTATCATATGCATTAGATTAGAGATTAGAAGTAGAATATTGCATGAACTTGAGATTTTTACTTCAGTTTGAAAATTTATGCTTTCTGAAAATATTTACAAAAATCTGATTATTAACCATTTAAATTATTTAAAGAATATTTTGAGAAGTTTATTCGATTTGAAAAAAAAAACTTGGATTATAGATAATCAATTATCTTTAATTTATAATCGAATATTTAATAATAGATTGTATTCAATATAGAATCGATATTTACAAGTTATTCATAATTATACAAAAAATGATTATTATATAAAATTAATTAATTTAATACTAATGGGTTTTCAAATTTTGTAAAATATAATATAACTGATTATCATAAAAAATAGTAATTAATTAAGTCTATTTTTTTTAAGAATATAGTTTTTTTAAAAAGAAAAGAGATTTTTTATATTAGTATTTTTGAAAAAAAGAAAGTTTAAGATTCTTTCTCATATTTTTTATGTATATTTTTTTAATTAAAAAAAATTACCTAATTCAATTTTATAAAAAAAATCATAATAAAATAAAAGGCAATTTATAATAAAATAAAATTATCCTTATATATATACTATAATATTATTATATTTTTAATTGATATAAAATTTTATTATATTCTCTTATTTTATTTTATTTTTTAAGAAAATTCATATTTTTATATGTGTTGATACGTTGTATTGAATTTTGAAAATTTGTGAAACGATATAGGTAGATTTAAAGATGATTAAATCAATCTAACTATCTCATGCTCTAATTTTTTTTAACGTTGCATCGTTAATTGAAAAGGTGGAAAAAAGGATAAGATTAAATGACTATTCTCCCTATTAATGTAATATATAAAAAATAATATTTTAATTGATTATAACATATAAACATTTCATATAAATTAATCTTAATCAATAGTCTATTAATTTTAATATGAATAGTTTTAATAAATAATAATCTAACATGTTACGTGACTTAAAAGTGGAGATAAAAAATTATTTTTATATATTATTTTTTCTTAATTCACCGATATAATCGTTAAGAATAAAATTTGTTATGTGATGTTTTATTATTATATATTATAATAATATTAATAAAGTTTTCCATGCAAAGAAATTTTTTTCTTATATATATATATATATATATATATATATATATATTTATATATATATATATATATGTATGAAAGGGGAAGGAGACAGAATATTTCAACAAGTAGTTCTCCTCTCATCCTTCTTCTTCTTTTGTCTAAATTTCAAGCAACGAGACTATGCTTGTGCAAGATCTGGTGAAACGGAAGAGAACATGGATTAAGTAGGAAAATTTTGGTAGAAATACAACATCAAGTAAGGGGAAATTTAACTCATTCAATATATGAGACTGATTTACTCGTTACTCTCTGAATAAGGAATAAGAGTAGAAATCTGAATATTTGAACGGCTGATTTTGAAAAAATTTTCATGTTTTGCAAAACTTGAAATTTTGTTGAAATTCTTGAAATTAAAGATGAATTATATGGTAAAATTGTTGTTTTCAACTTAAATTGGACATAATTCATGTTTAATTTGGATCTGGAACTAGTTTGAGTGTTTGAAACTTGGAAATTTGAAACCTAGAGGTTGGACATGGCGTACTGGGAATCAGAGGTTGAAGATGACGGTAAATTGGGAATTTTTAAAAAAGATCAAGGATAAAATAGTCATTTTACATCATAGGGACATAAATAGAATTTTCAAAAATGTCCAAGGATAAAATAGTCATTTTTGGGACATGGAAGGAATTTTCAAAAATGTTCAAGGGTAAAATAGTCATTTTAGGGACATGGAAGGAATTTTCGAAAATATTCAAGGGTAAAATAGTCATTTTTAGGACATGGAAGGAATTTTCAAAAATGTTCAAGGGTAAAATAGTCATTTTCGGGATATGGAAGGAATTTTTGAAAATGTCCAAGGGTAAAATAGTCATTTAGGGACATACATGGAATTTTAAGAAAAGATTAAGGGTAAACTAGTAATTTAATGATTTTGGGATGAAAAAGGAATAATGGAAAATGTTTAAAGATATAATTGGAATTTTATAAATAAAGTAAAGGTATGTCAGGAAAAATAAATAAATTTAGAATGAAATTAGAAATTTTAAAGAATCAGTAGTGTGTTGTGACGTGTGTGGGTCAGACTGAGCCTAAGGGCTGATGCCTAGAATCAGTCATGAGATGTTATGTATTGGCTAGACTGAGCCGGAGGGTTAGTGCCCAGAATCAGTCAAGTACTATTATTTATTGATCCGAATGAGTCGTGAGGACAAGAGGTTCAGAATCCGGCAGATGTGAATGATTGTTGTTGTGTTTGAATGGTACACGTGGTGGTACAGAGTATATTAGTGTACTAATTATGTCGGAGGATTCAAATGAGGTCTCAGACTTCACTAATTGGTCGAGTCAGGTAGACTACGAGATCAGGTGGTGAGAAGTCGATGGGAGATGACCGGTGACACGCTCAGAGGGGTACTCCAGAATGATTGATGAAGGACGTTAGTAATGTCACTCTGTGTAGAGGGTGGTCAGAATGGTACTGTGAGTGTCGACCACAATGTACCCGTAGATGATAGCTTCTGAGTTCGGGCATAGTTAAGGTAGACTTCCGGAAGACGTCTTAGTGTATTAATAATTTGTATACAATTGATGATAATATGTAATTATTACTCCTATATATGTTTTATTATATCGAATGATTTAATACTTACCCCTATTTTTCCATGTGGATGAGACTGCGATGATCATTTTTATATGGGAGCAGATCAGGAATTGAGAGGTGGAGATGCGACTACTAGATAGCAGGGATAATTCAGTCGGGTAGCTTTGTGGGAGCTACTTTTGCAGACATCTATATAAATAAATTATGTTACTATATTTTGAGGTTCAGTCAATAAACTGGAATTCCAATCTATATTACAATTACAAGTAATATAATATAATATAAATATTATTATTTATTTCTTTACTATTACGAATGTATCATTATAATAACAATTTATAAGGTAGTTACAAAATTACCTTAAACATAAATATTAACGCTAAAAATATTATCATAAAACGAAAATATGACAAATTTTATTTTCAAATATTTGTATGTTTCAACTAATCGATTAATAGATAAAATTAATTGTTTAGCGTGGAAGATGAAGGTGGCAAATAAAGACAAAAAGAGTGACTTAGTAATATAACAAATGTTTAAATATTCTTCATGTACTTAATGCATCCAATTAGCTGGGTAGGCTGCAAGAATCAAGTACCACATGTTACCACACTAAGTTAATCTAAGTTGAAAAAAATTTAAACTTTTTAAAATTTACATACAAATTAAATATGAAAAAATAATTTTTTCTCAAATTAATATTTATATTTTCAGCAAACATGTCCAACAATATAATAAATAGTTGAAGGGTTTTAGGCAAACTACATTATTTGTTGGGTGGAGCAGATTTTGGACGGTGTGACACAAATTCCCTGACATGGGAAATTGCAGCACCATTGTAATTTGCAAACATAGTTAAGATTTCTAGGTAAGAGAGGAATTTTATTACAATATATGTTTAGTCTCTTTTTCTCAAAGTTCTCATCTTTTACAATTTCTTCTACCAGCTAATGACGTATGCCTTATTTTAATATTATATTAATATTATTGTGCAAGAAAACTTCGTAACAAAGTTTTCCTCGTGCACAGTAAAATTTTTCTTATATATGAATACTGAAGCGGGGGAGGAGGGGAATCAAAATTTTCCTCTCATCCTTCTTCTTCTATTGTCTAAATTTCAAGCAACGAGACTCTACTCGTGCAGGATCTGGTGAAACGGGAGAGAACTTGAATTAAGTGGGAAAACTTCGGTAGAAATACCATACCAGGTAAGGGGAAGTTTAATTCATTTAATATATGAAATTGAATTGCTGGGTACTCTATGAATAAGGAATAGGAGTAGAGATATGAAGTATTGGAATGTCTAATTTTGAAGAATGTCTAATTTTGAAGAATTTTTGATTTTGATGAACAGTTGATCGTTCAAAAGCTTTTTTTGAAATTATTGAAATTAAGAATGAATTATATACTAAAATTATTGTTTTTAACTTAAATTGAACATGTTTATGGTTAAATTTTGATTTGGAACTAATTTGGGTGATTGAAACTGAGAAATTTGAAATCTGGCGGAATGGAAGATCTGCAAAAACTCGCTCAAGCGAAAAACACGTCGCTTGAGCGAGGACACCTGGAAAATTTGGGATTCTCGGGTTCTTTCTCGCTCAAGCGACAAATACATCGCTTGAGCTACTCAAGGTTATGTCTCGCTCAAGCGACCGTTGTACTCGCTTGAGCGACGAAGCCTTCAAACAAAGGTGACCCTCGGGTCATGTCTCGCTTAAGCGACTGGTGTACTCGCTTGAGCGACTAAAGTCTTCAAACAAATTGGACTCTCGGGTCATGTCTCGCTCAAGCGACTGTTGTACTCGCTTGAGCGACGAAGCCTTCAAACAAAGGGGACTCTAGGGTCATGTCTCGCTCAAGCGACCGGTGTACTCGCTTGAGCGACGAAGCCTTCAAACAACGGGGATTCTCGGGTTCCATCTCGCTCAAGCGACCGGTGTACTCGCTTGAGCGAGCGAAGGAAGAAGAAAGGGAGATGGTGGGGATTTTTTTAAAAGATTAAGGGCAAAATAGTAATTTAATGATTTCGAAAGTGATTTCGAAAATAGTTTCGGAAATAGTTTCGGAAATGATTTCGGAAATGATTTTTAGGAAAATATATATATATAAAGAGAGAGAAAGAATGAAAGTAGAGTGTTGTGACGTGTGTGGGTCAGACTGAGCCTGAGGGCTGATGCCCAGAATCAGTCCTGAGAAGTTATATATTGGCTAGACTGAGCCAGAAGGTTGATGCCAGAATCAGTCAAATACTATTTTTATTGACCCAAATGAGCCGTGAGGACAGGTGGTCCAGAATCCAGCAAATGTGAATAAATTTTGTATGTTTGAATGGTACTCGGGTGGTACATAGTACATTAGTGTAATAACTATGTCGAGGGTCACCGATTGGTCTGGTCGGGTAGACTACGAGATCGGGTGGTGAGAAGTCGATGGGGGATGACCGGTGGCGCGCTCGGAGGGGTACTCCAGTATGAGTGATGAAGGGCGCCAGTAATCCTACTCTGTGTGGAGGGTGGTCGGAATGGTACTGCGGTACCGATCACAATGTGCTCACGAGATGATAGCCTCCGAGTTCGGGCATAGTTAGGGTATACTTCCGAAGGTGTCTTAGTGTGTTGATAATTTCGTAATTGATCATAATATATAATTATTACTTCTATATTTGTTTTATTATATCGAATGATTTAATACTTACCCCTATTTTTCCATGTGGATGGGATCTGCGATGATCACTTTTATGTGGGAGCAGATCGAGGAGTTGAGAGATGGTGATGTGACTACTGGACAGCAGGGATAGTTCAGTGGGATAGCTTCGAGGAGCTACTTTTACATGTATAATATATAAATAAATTATGTTACTATATTTTGAAGTTCTGTTAGTGAACTGAAATTTCAATATATGTTGCAATTACAATAATATAATGTAAAATAGATGTTGTTATTTACTTGTTTACTACTTTGCGAAGACATCATTATAGTAGCGATTTCTAGGGATAATGAGTGATGAAGCTAAAAAACAAATCAATTTTTTCTTTATTGATATTTTATTGTACAAATACCAATTATTTTTTCATCAATAAATTTACATTATACGTGTAACTGTGGTGTTAAAGTTTATTGGTCCAGATCCTCTTGAAATAGCTGCCTAGTTTGGACCACTTAATAAATTGAATGCATCTCTTTATAAAGAAAAATTTTCAAATCTCCAATTCCTCACCTTCATCCACACATGCATGGTTATTAGAAGGGAAGATCTATCCCTTCACGTGTCCTTGCGTGCTTGTGTGGCCAAATTGTATATTTAATTTCGGAGATTAAAGATATAAAATTTGGTTGGCCAAATTATATAGATATTTGGTGAACCTCAACCATCACTATGAAAAAAAAAAATCTTTATAAGTTGACACTCTACTTTTACTTTAGAATTATTTTAGGTTTTTACATAAACTATTTTTCAATGCACATAAAATTTAAGTTTAGAATGAGACTAAACAATGAAATTTCGTCCCTAAAAAATGAAGAGGTGGTAGGTGGGTTTCTTGAACAAATTTCGTAACATGCAAGTCCTTCAAAAATTTTCCATTTTAAGTTGAACACGTGGATTTGGATATTTTCCATGGGCAATGGACACCTTTTTTTTATTATTATTGAATATTGTGACTATAGTTGAAGATGCTATTCTCTTTTATAGCGGTTTGTTGTTCTTACATATTTTCATGTTGATCAAACCCTTTTTCTTCTCTTTTTCTTTTGGTTGAAAGTTTAAGATTGAAAATCTTAAATTGATTAATAGGTTGAAAAAGGGTTTTAAAAAGTAACCATTTTTACCTATAGTGAGTGTTAAAATAGTAACCTACGTAGAAACTTACATGTTAAGCTTCAACAAAGTTTATATATAACAGGAGATTTTCATTTTTAAGAACTGATTTATATCGATCTATATCAAACTAAAAAAAGGTGAAAATAACGAAGATAGGGTTTTCTCTACAAGAGTGATGAACTCATTAAATGATTAGCAAGACACGTGTAATTTTAGGAAGATATCTACGTGAATTTTACCCTCTATATCATCAATCGTGAATAAGTATTGAAAAGGATGTATCATATATACATATATATATATATATATATATATATATATATATATATATATATATATATATATATATATATATATATGTATATGTATATATGATGTCTTGGTAGCGTTTCTCTTTGAAAGGAGAATCTAATTTGAAACATTGATTCATATTTATTTTGAAACAAGACTTTGAACATGAATGGTGCCTGTTTGGACGGCAGAAATCTGAGAATCTACGATAACGGCCTCCCTCAGTTGCTTCTAAACTCAAAAGTCTAAAATATTCAATGGCAAGGACAGAGATAAGCTATGGTTTTCTCACCACATTTATTATTATATATATATAACGGTGGTACTCCTCACCAACTTGAAGCAACCATTTTCACACATCAAAGCTAGCTTAAGATTGCACCCCAGAGAAATCTCCCATTTCAGAGAAACAAACACCTCATCAGCATGGCTAATTGGTCCCCTGAAAATGCCAAGAGAGCTTATCTCCAAGCACTCAAAATGGTAAAAACCAAGAGCAGCAGATCCTTCATCTAGCTTTACATTTTCAATATTTAAGATGCGTTTGTCTTATGTTACTTGTTTGTTTCTTTTGTCCCATATGATCAAGGTTTTAAGTTGTAGTTGTTGTATCATGATTTGCTTGAGATCTTTCATAATCCTAGGTAATATCACCTTTTTGAAAGTATGGTTTTGTTCATATACAACATCTTATTAGATGGAAGAAAAATAACATACATAAACTATTCTTGATGACTTTTTTAGTACATCAAAACAAATATGAAGTTTTATCAAGTGAAAATGGAGGAGTTGAACAATGATCATAAAATTCAGTTTTGTAGTGAACTCATGGTTTATTGGTGAATATCATTGTTTCTCCTGTGATTGACCCGTGGTTTATTGGTCAAATCATTATTTCTGATACTTAATAAGGTAATCATTTTTTTTTCTTTTTGCAGGCCAAAAGAGATAAAGAACCTGATGTAGCTGAGTTCATATCTGCTCTTGCAGCAGGCAACAATGCACAACTCATGATGGTGGCCGGTGCTGGTGTGGCCGGTTCCGCCACGCTTGCTCTGGCTGCAGCTGCTCATCAAACTGGTGGTCGTGTGGTATGCGTATGTTGTGACCAAATAGAGACACGTGCATTGAGAAAAGATCTTGGAGTTTATGGAGATCGTGTTGAGTTTGTTGTAGGAGATGTGAGAAGGCTTCTGCTAGGCGATTACAAAGGAGCTGATTTTGTGCTTGTGGATTGTGACATCACTAATGCAAGGGAAGTTTTTCTAGCAGCATTTAAAGGGGCCAACAAAGATGGTGCCCTTGTGGTTGGATATAATGTTAAGCATAGGGCCTCAAGATGGAGACAACTAAGAGCATCATTTCTACCCATTGGAGAAGGGTTGTTGGTGGCCAAAATAGATCCAAATGTGAAGGGTAATGACAGGGTTGTCCAAAGGAGGAGTCGTTGGATTGTTCAAGTGGACAACTGCACTGGAGAGGAACATATTTTTAGGGTCACCCCTCCTCATAAGAAAGTGCAGATTGAAGTCTAAGGTTGTAATTGATAGGTTTTGCTCTGGTTTATGAATAATAAGAAAATGATTGAAGACACATAGATATCATGGTCTGAAGGGTACCTACCTCCTAGGAATGTATAATAGAACAGAAGCTACCTGGTATTGATCAGTGGTCTTATATTTTTCACTTTTCATGTATTTTAGTGTATATTTGTATAAATCATTTGGCCTGTTAATTTTTTTCACAGGCCAAAGAAGCAATGAATGTAAAACTGAAAAAGAAACTTTTAGTTTAACACTATGTCATGAGTCATCAAATGTTGTAATGTCTATCTTTCATGGGCTGGAAAATTAGATCTACGCTACATAATCAAAGATTTTTCACTTGTATCCATTGAATAATTTTTCATGAGTCTGGTGGATAAGATTAAATTTTTAAGAGAGAATTTCAGTTTTTAAAGAATGATCAACAAGGGATTTCTGCTGAAGATTCTTTAGGAATAATAAGATCCAAGGAAGATGTGACCAATGATCCAGGTGCTTCTGCTTTGAAGACTGGAGATTATGCAAAAACTAAGCATATAAAGGATGTTCCTAAAATAACTCATTGCCCATGAATGATAATATATATAAGACACAAAACAACATTACAAATAAAAACTAACAAAAGAAATTAATTTATGTAATTCAGCATCGCTTGCTTTAAGTTCATGCAACCACTCCATATTAATACATGGACTAGAAAAAAATATATATATCACAAAACAGAATAAAAAGATTAAAAAAGAAAAGTTGTAAAATATGTAACTACCCCATTTTTTTTTCTTTACTTGCAACAACTCTCTCAAGCATTTCATCAAACAGATTCAAAATAGACCTTGATGATGCTATTACATGACAAGGAAATTTCCGGACTCATTATCACCACAACTTACATAAAAGTGTACCTCATTTTCTCCCTCAATCACCCTTTAACACCACGTTCATAGTGAAGATAACAGTAATTAAGAACTTTCAACTTCACCCATCCATCACGTAACTCTCTTTGTTTCAGAAGTGGGATTTGAACCCACGCCCTCATACGAGGACCAAAACTTGAGTCTGGCGCCTTAGATCACTCGGCCATCCTGACTTACGTTTAAATAAAATTAAATAATATTATATATATTTATTATTATAATGTGACAACGTTTTTAAATTTTATAAAATCTGATAACGAAAATTACGACCGATCAAACTTGCAATTTAAAAAATGTTTTTTTTTTCAGAATTTAGGACTATTTCCAAAAATTTATCTCTCTTTTTCAATTTAAATTATATATAAATTATAATAATTATTTCCTTTAAATTATAACACTTTTATTTTTCTCTCCTATAAATCAAAAGAATAGTTAAAAAAATATATTTATATATATATATATATATATGAGTAAAAATTCTGTCTGATTGTTTCTAACTATAAGAGTAAATTTGGGAGAACATATTTGAGGTAGAAAGTGAACTCTCTCACTAAAATGAGGAGATGAATCAAGAAAAATACGTCAATTAGTATGCATTTATAGTGTTACTCCTCCTGATTCGAGTCAATTTTACATACCTCAACTAACATAACATCATTTAACAATGTGCATGGCAGGAAAATAACAAGCATGTATAGATTCCTACCCACCTACATGCACCATCTACATACAATGAATATTTTTAGCAACATTGTTAACCATGGTACCTAAAAGTTTTGAATGCATTGTTAAAATTCCGTGAATGGAATGGTTAGGTGCTATGTGTTTAAGTTGTGAGAGTTTTAATTTCTCAATTCATTGAAGAAATACATTGGTGGTTCGGTGAGAATAGTTGTAAAGAACTGATTCTATGTGTGCACAAAATTGATTTTCAACGAGGCTTATTCAATGAGAATTGATTCTAGTTCGCCTACACTGTATGGAAATCGATTCTCCATTTATGAGAATCGATTTTTGACCAAGGAGAATTGATTCTTAATCATGTTATTGAAGGATAATCAATTCTCCATTACTAGAATTGATTCTTTCTTATAATCGATTTTCGACCACATTTATTTGAAAGAGAATCGATTCTCACCTGTGATTTATGTTATGAATTTGATGTGTGTTGTGTTGTATTATAAGTTGTGAATTCGTCTGGTGACCAAGTTAGTAATCACGGTGTTGGTTCAGTGGTATGGTCATTGTTCGCGGTAGATTAATGTTGTTATTAATGGTCTTCGTGTGTTCATTGATGGTGGTGGTTATTGTCGTTCTTTGTCATGTGATGCTCATTGTGTTATTGTGTAATATTGTTACTAGTGCTTGCTGGTAGTGCTTCTTTGTGATACTTCTATGTGGTACTTATCTGTGGAGCTCTAGGAGGTAAGTAAAAATAATAAAATTATTTTGGTTAAATATGAATACGTTAACCTTGGATGAATTAATTTAAATTTGTATCTTGAATTATTTAATTTGACGCTATATAGATTATATCAAAGTAGACGGAAATGTGAGATTAAATTAAGTTTTTTTTCATAAACTATCATTTATATTAATATTTGAAGTGAGATTAAATTATATTTTCAAGTTAAATTATATTAGGTTTGTAGATTATGTCTATATAGATATATATGAAAAATCTATATTAATATTATCATTTAATATTAAAATATAGTATTTAAGTTAACTTTAGATATAACTATAATATTAAATATTTTATGAACTTTTTGTTTACCATTAATTAAATATTAAAATAGCATAATAAAATTTAATTTAATTTTATTAATAACGTATTAAATGGTATAATGAAATTAAATTTAAGTTTATTAATATCATATATTAAATTTTGTACGAAATAATAATTTATCAAATCTTAAAAAAACTTTGTATAAAAAATAATGTAATATTATTTTATAAAATTAGCATTAATTTAATATAAAATTATTTTAATCAAATTAAATTTATGTGTAATTTAATTATCATTTATCATAAATATATATTGAAAAAATTAGTATAAATTATAGTATAATATTATTTTATGATATTTATATTAATCTAATATAAATTTATTATAATCAAAATTACATATTAATTCTTTAATGAATCATTCATCTTAAAAACAGAATAAAACAATTTAGTATAAATATAATGTATAATAATATTTTATGAAATTAGGATTAAGTATGTAAATAAATAATAAAGAAATATGTAAAGGTAAAAGAGGAGGAAAGAGTGAGAAAATAAGATTGTAAATATATAAACAAATATATTAAATTATCATTAAGTTTTGGGGACCAAAATCATAAATATAGGAGAGGGGGAGGAAGGGGTCAATTCTCAAAAAAATATGCCACTAAACTATAAGTACCGACAACTTCCATTGGAACCTTCACTCTATTCTTCATGAAAACAAACTTTTCATATGTGTTTATGCTTCGTGTTGAAAGAAATCTTTATATTGTTAGGCGAGATAACATCTAGAGGGGGGTGAATAGATGCATAAATTAAAATAAATGTCAAAACTTAATTAAATAGAAAAATAACATCAGAAAATGGTTGTTGGACATTAATATTTTCGTGAATAAAAATCAGAATATATTCAAAAATATTTATTCTTCAAAACAGATATATTTTTCAAATTTGAATTGCCATAATTGATTATGTTACCAGTATAATCAATTATGACAGAGAAAATCATTTTTTCCATTTTTGATGTATCATAATTGATTATGACAGTGAAAAATATCACGTTATGAATTTTATTACACTTGTGCTTTGGAGGCTTATGCATAATATTACTTCATCAACTTGTACCTCTATATCCAGTATTCTAAGACTCTATCTAGTCTTCATGAATCATCTTGGGCTTGCTTGAATCATCATCTTTATCAAAAACATATCTTGGGCATGTAGGAAAATGTTTCACATTGTCACCAACGTCATAAATTCATTTTGTCATTAATTCATCTTGAATGGTGTTGACTTGAATATAATTGACTTGAATCATCATCAAAATTATCTCTTCGGAATGTAGAGACATTTCCATCAATCTCCCCCTTTTTTATGATGATCAAGGAAACACCTGAAATGAATTAAAATGCTTGACTCTATATAGCCAGTTCAAGATTAGCACAAATTAGCATAGATTTGTATCAAGTGTCAGAGTCTCTTAATCTCTCCCTGGATATATTAATAACAAAACTCCCCCTAACTCATATGAGAAAAAATTTCTCTTAATTCCCCTTGTTTAATTTAGAGATAGGAAAGAATTTCACACAGATTTTAATTCATCAAAAAATCTCCCCCTGTTTCACACAGATTAATATCATCAAAATATCTCCCTATTTCATTGATAATTATGAAAAATATTATAAGAGAAAAATCTCCCCCTGTTTCACACAAATTAATATCATCAAAATATCTCCATGTTTCATTGATAAATATGAAAAATATTGCAATAGAAACTTAGAACAAATTTGCACATATCAATACATAAATCAAGGTAGAGAAGATAATGCATTACAAAGTGTCATAGAGAATAATATCATATTAAGGAGGCAATATCTAGGATACCCAAGACAAATGAAGAGAGAGAAAGATAAGGGAATAGAATGATTATAGAGATAATGGAATGAAATGCAGTAGTTTTCCCCAATTGCAGTCTTCTTATTTAGGCAGCTTTCAAATTCAAACTAGATTTCAAATTTCACATTCAAATTGCAACAAATTTCAAATTTCACATTCAAATTGCAACAAATTTCAAATTCAAATTCCAACAAATTCCAAATTTCAAATTCAAATTCCAATAAATATCAAATTCAAATTTCAAATTCAAATTTCTAATCCCAAATTTCAAATTCCAATTCAAAAAAAATCTCAAATTGCAAAAATTTCAAATTTCAAAATTTCAAACTACAAAGTTTCAAATTTCAAAAATCTCAAATTGCAAAATTTCAAATTTCAAAAATCTCATACTGCAAATTTAAAAAAAAATTGCAAACTGCAAAATTTCAAATTTCAAAAATCTCAAATTGC